GTTTGAGCCGACATTTGAAAAGCTGAGTTGGGATGAAATGGTGAAATGGTGCCCGGTAGCGTAACTGGTAGCGCACTTGCCCGGAAAGCGAGAGGTGCGGGTTCTAGTCCCGCCTGGGGCGAAAGTTTTGTTCACAACCCAGCATTCTTGTGAAACATTCGCAAGGCGAACTGCGGCCAAAAAAGCAGTTAACAAACAAAAACTTCTCCCTAGCTTTGGTCCCGCGCAGACGCAGGGTCCGCTGCCTTTCTGTCAGCCGTCGCCATATTGTTCTATCCAACGCAATTCTGCCTAGCCCCGACTTCAGTGAGTCCTTCTTGATGACGTCTCTCCACCCTTTCTTCGAGGCTGCTCACGATTGCTTGCTTTCAGGAGGTTCATTTTGGTGATAATATCTCGGCGCTAGGAAGGCTGAGTGACTACTTAGGCCTCAATAGGCCCTAAATTGCAACTTACTCGAGATAGCTAGCATTAGCTGGTGCTCTCTATCATGTACACAGTGCGCGATCTAGTGCCCAGAAACTGTTTACGCTAACTGAACCCTTCCATGCTTCTGGCGTCGGCTCTTTAGCGCCTGCCTCGTCTGGGAGGAGAAAAACGCTATTTGTTCATTCCAAGACCCCCGCAAATCATTTTCTGTCTGAAGTGGCTTTGTAGTTGTGCTCATTCTCGCTACTATCCCTGGAATTTTGTCGTTTCTTTGTATTCAGAATTCTTACCCACATTTTGTTATTACTTCCTATGTGCGTAGTATATATAGCCATATTCATACGACAAGCTTTCGTCATGATAATTGAAGAATAATAAATTCCTCCTCGGGGAGCCATATGTAATTGTTTTTTAATCGTGGTGCGATCATGCCAATGTGGCCCCACCCACTCCAGTAGGCTCCACCCAGATGAAGTGCTGTCAGTCGGCAATGTTCAGGAATGATTTATCCATGGATATCTGTTCTTTATTTCTACCTATTCCTTTTTTCGCACAGCTTTCAACTTTGGCGATTCCTTTGCGCAGATTCGATGTACTATATTTTGGATTCATGCATTTCATCACCTCCTTACTCCAAAGGGGAAGTAGTAAAATAAGTATTTTTTGCGGTTATGCTAACTTCTAACCAAAAGTTCACATAGAGAAAATCAGAGTTGCTAGACTCTCTCTTCAATCTTCACATTACGAGGTGCTATGGCAAGGCACGGGGGCATCGTGGTGGCAACGCATTCAAAACTGAGCGAAACTTCTTTTTCCTTGTAAAAGTCGGGACTAAGCCTTGGGCGGGGAAGAGAGACTCCTGGGTAAGTGAGTGGCTTTCATTTTCCCCACTTCCTGTCCCACCTAGGCCTAGTCCTGTAGCGTGCCCGTTGTACCAGGTGAAACCCCAACTCATAAATTCTTATGTTCCTCCTTTATATTCAACTGGTTATATCTAGATAGCCGCTTGATTTTGCAGTGGTCTGACTTTCTGGGTATTCTGATCGCCATTTTCCTCTCATTATAAGCTCATTAATCGTGAGTGATGCCAACCGCTTTCGTTCAAAAAAATGTATCGAGTCTAGTGCTGCTTTGGCAGCAAGCCCGTATATAGACTTTACGATGGAATTGCATACGCTTCACTTGGAAGGTAAGCGAGATGATTAAATTCATACCAATCTAAAATAGTCGTGAGGACTTCGCTAGCGAATCCACGGAGTTCGCCAACCTGATCACCGCCGGCCGCCTCTGTTAAATTGAAGCTTACGCGGGAACGTAATACATGTTCTCTACAGGACGTGACAAACCATCGAAGTCGATTTCGTCAGCAATAAGAGCTACACCAAAACTATCCCGTATGGCATCCTTTGCGACTGCAGTCCTAACGCGTGATGCCAGCCCTCCAACGCAGCACTCAATTACACCGAGGCGGACCTCAATTTTTTTGGTCTTAGGCCAGCACCCAGCGCCGTACGGTGCACTGGATGTTCATGTGATGCTCCTAAAGACCGTCGATCCGAAGTTTCTAGACATTTCGTCGCACTTATAAATTCTTACGCTCTAGTAAACTTCTATTCTTGTTGTTGATGGCTGTCAGCCATTCAGCTCTCCCTAACAACAAACCTCTTCCGCGGTCAAAAGGTTTATAAATTGCGCCGTAGAGAACTTTTGATGTGAATATGCTGAAATACTGCCGTAATTGCATGATTTGCATAAATACATATGATATTTTTCGTGATAAGCCACGCCTTTGTCTTCACTCTCCGTTCGGTGGACCCCAACGTTTAGGGATGTCACTTTTCTTCATTCACTTCAGAAATTTCCAGTGATATCAGGTCAAAGTGAAATAAGCAGACTTCTGCTGAAGCGATCAACTCGAACTATCTCTTCCCCCTTCCCGCTATCCCCGTTTCTCTGTTTCCCCACAGAATCTCAGTGGGCAAGGAAGCCAATCCCAGTTTTGAGCTTGTCCTTTTTCATATTGCTTTCTAACTTATTGTACTCATCAAATCCACCAGCACCCGCCGGTCCCGTCATTACGAAGCTTGGCGTTCCTCCTCCTCGGCTTATCCTCCCCTCCTCCCTCGCCCACTGCTCTCCACTGCCACTTGCCTCGATTCGCTGTTCCATATAGCCATGGGAGGTTATCATACCATGCGACATCAACAGCGAAACGCGTAACCTTCGAGCTCTCCCGTTCTGGTTGGCGGTTTGGTTCCGGACGGGATGCGCGACATAGAACACGCCCAAACGCGTACACAGTTCTGGTTCATATAATGAAGAAATACTCAACCATTCTTGTTGTCTTTGTCGTAGCTCAGAAGCCAGAGGTGGTGTAATAGAAAATAATCCTGTTATCAAGTTCTGGCGAAATTCGATCCAGAGTAAACTTCTAGGCCACATCTTATCCGGGTAACCAAACCCGTTAATTGCTCTCACGATCAGAGTTCTTTCTAAGGGAAAACACTGACTTGTCCGTGTGGTTACGCAGGCACGTTGAATGCATAGTCGGGTTCAAATACTTCTGGGATTCCTACTTGAAGTCGAATTCATGGTGCATCCTTGAAAGTGATTGATCAACGCCAGATGTTTTATGGTTTTACAGATGATGGCTTTTCATGTCATTTTTTTCCATCGTTTTCCTTTCCCCTTCTGAATTCATCTTATTCACTTCTGCCGAGAAAAGCTTGCCATTTTGTCATTTCGTTCTGTCGACAAATCTCCACGTTAATCCGCAATGAAAATGGTTTCAGGCTATGTTTGACAATGATTCCACTGCAAATGAGTTTGACCCATTATGCGCTCAGGTGAGTGATGTCCATTTCCTTCACAATATACATAAACAGCACAAAAGTAAACCTTACGCAGCACTCCTCTTTGCAGCAGATAATTTTGTTGTCCCATTTCCGAATTCTAGCCTAAAAGTTGCTGATATTTCACATCGGTTTTGTACCAACGGTTCGCGGCCAGTGATTCTAAGAAAGTAAACAGCAAACAAATAACAAATACACAAATAACATAACTGTAGCAATAGCTCTTACTTTATATAGCCATGTAGTGTTATCACAATCATGACATCAAACTATAATACAAGGCGATGTCGCAAGAGATAGGGGGCATCCTTTAGGACTAAGCCTAGGGGCACGTTTCCGGGAACAACGTAAATGGTCCACGCACTCAGTCTCGCTTCCCCTGCCTAAGGCTCAGTCTTATATTCAACAAAAAGAAGACGTTTTGAGCGGTTTGAATACAATGCCACCCGTACATTGCGATAGTGCCTCATCATAATACAGTGCAGGGAGGTCATTGTCGTCAACATTGTTGAAATTCATAAATTTGGGTCTATTCCAGTTAAGGGGGGGGGCATCATCATGCAGTTTTCCGGAAAGCTAGGGTAACTCCGAGCCTGAGGGAGTGTAGCCAGTCTACGGGGTGGTGGATGAAGCACTCGTTCACCTGCGTGAAAAACCATGGAATGAGTTCTCCACTAGTTCCGGTGCGCGAGAAACTTCATCATGATGCCCCCCTTAACTGGAATTGGACGCCGAAATTTAATATAATTAATTAGATTCGTTGGTCTTCTTTAATCGTCGCTGAATTTTCAGTATGAAACGTACACTATCGCACGATTCGTCTTCATCACACTGGCAACGGTGATCGCATGCCTTGGCACAGCAGCAAATCTCTTACTTATACATATATTTTCTTTTAAGAAGGTAAGTGAAATTTTGGTGTTCAAAATAATAGTCTCAGCTTAGTAAAAACAATCATACGAAGGCACATTTATTGAGTTGAAGCAAAAGTGCTCTGGATTGATTCCTCGAAACTCTGGCCTTTGATGGATGCGTTCCGATTATAATATCTTCAATTCGTGCGAGATTGAAGGGGGTCATTCTTATGTTGCGTTGGCAAGGAACAAGGCTTCGAGGAGGACCAAGAAACCGTAATGTAGGCCCAATCCATAACCCATTGCTTACTGCCCCTATGAGCGTACCGTCGTAGGTTTTGTCGTCTGTTCCATCAGTGAACGGAACTCTAGCGGTAATTTTATAAGTACCCATATACACTATGATTTCTATGCTCGGGAAGGCTTAATGGGTGTATACTGCAGACTTTGCAGGCCGCGATAAGGTTGAACCGTATAACCTTGTTCGACTAGAACGTTTACATAAGCTTACCCCTTAGCTCACTTTATACGGTCGGGCTGTACCCATCGTTCCAAGCTCGAGAAAGTCGAACATAGAGAATCCTAGATTTTTACGGCCTCTTTTGAAAGAGTGGAGATGATGTGGTGACAAGCGGCCTCACCCCTCGTACAGCCCGATAATCAAATTCAGGGGCGAACCTGTCCTAGCCCAATAAGCCCTTTTCCCCCTTTGAGGTCCATCTGTAAATAGGATGCTCGTCTGGGATAATGAAAATATGAATGTTACATATGCTTGCTCCTCAAATCACTTTACAGGCCACGTTGCCTTCCAAATGTCATTGCAAATTTGAGTGGAAGCAAAAAGCGTGGCGCATTTCAAAGAGGAACAACTTAACGTCGATTGCCTCATTTTTTCAACTTTATCTCATGAAAAGCTCAAATAGACCATTTGTAACCATCATGTGTTCAATGAATGTTACTTCAGGCGGCATCAACGCCAGCAACGTTGTATCCGACGATTTTGGCCTTTCTCGATTTCGCCATTTGCCTCGAATATTTACTGCTGTTCGGTGTCGATGCAGTCGTCAGCTTTGTAAAGGTTGAGGTGAGTGAGGAGTTAATTATGACCACTTGAATTTCTTTTCAAAATTTCTTGCGCGGTTTCAAAATTCAATTGCAACAACGTTCTCAGGTCTTTCCTCACCTACGATACTTGTTTCTTTACTTTCATTCAATTTCATTCCGCTGGAATAGCTTTACAAACACCTTATGGAAATTATCGGTACAAGTAGAGCCCTTTTGTATGTTCAATATGACGAATTTTCGGCTTTCTGCCAAGAAAGGCTGCCCGTGGCCCACTCTTGTGATTTCTTATCGCCCTACTACCTATCGCAAGTTGTGATTGGGTGCAGCAACCGTCCGTTGGACAAAGTCCAACGAGGGAGAGTCGTATTCCGGCCGACGAAAGGGGGGTCGTATTCGCAAGGTCGGAGGCAGCTTCAATCCTACACCAAACGAGGGGTCGTAGTGTGACGCTTTACGCTTTGTGAGTGCTAAGAAAAATCTCTCTCAACTGATTTATATTTTCTTCCCCCCTATTTTGGCTATTTGAGAAATGGGGTTGAAGCTGGGCTGTGCCGAGTGGTCTCAGAATCAAATGCTGTAATAACAGCTCTGATGATAAGGGTGGTGGTCGTTATTGGTGGAGCTCCTGAGTCTCATGGGGGTGGAGGGGGTTGTGAAAAATTTCCAAACCAACGACAGCGTGCCCGTGTGGAGTGGTGTCGTATCGAGGCCTCTAGAAGGAGAGGTTCGTTAATTTGAACGATTCGTTCCAACCTAATGGTTGACCCTGATTGGGTGTGCCTTTCTATATGAAGTTTCCATGCTGAAGTCCACTGCAATGACGTTTTTGTTTTCGATTTATTGGACTAGGCTTTACTCCAGGAGCGCAGTTCACATATATGTTTTTATTATATATTAGGTTGTCTCAGAAGTTCGTGCGTATTTTGAACTTATTTTTGAGCCTGCACTATTCCAAGCACGTGTGCAACCTATCATCATTATATGTACCACCACTATCAGTGACTTGTTACCAACATCCAACCAAAGATTGGCAACTTAACTCTCAAAGGGCTGGCAGTTATGAGCTGAAAAAGGCAGTGAGGTCGATTTTGAGGTGCTAATGGGAATCGTATTTTTTGTCGTCAAGAAGGCGGCTGAGCAGAAAGGGCAGATGTCTTTCGAAAGAGAATGACTACCGCTGCACGATGAATGTGGTAGGCCTTTTCAGCTGGGCTTCGATATTCAGAATCGCTTCATTATCGAAATGTGTGGCCTCGGGTGTTGTGGAGCGTACACACTTTTTCGAGTTTTAACGACATTTGTTGGGGTTTCACCGTGAGTCTCTGCCGTTGATCTCCCTACACTTGAGTGAATTCATATCTATAATGATTGACATGTCTCTAGTGGCTTACTCGATAACGCTCCAAAAGAGGTGGAGCACGACCTTGTGGTGAATTTCTTCACTTTTCACCCTCTTCTGTCCGATCTAGTCCCTGGAGATTCTAGGTGTGGTTGTCATGGAACCTGAGCTTCTCAACTGCAGTAGTAGCTTTGTTCAACCAGGGCGTACGGATGGAGCTGGACACAAATTGTAGACGGGACTCGTGCCGCACTCCTGTCATCAGTGATCAACTCATGAGGGAATCTTTGGTGAGGCTTCAACCATTCTACGAAGGAGCGAGAACCTCTACGCATTGTGCATCTGGAACACCAGGATGTGGTTGCCACAAAGCAGGTAGCCCCGTGTGGAGTGACTCCCACGAGAGAGCACAGATTCTCCAAATCCGACACTGATGGCCTCTCTGAACGTGGATTTTTCTACCGGCTGTAGTCTCCTGGGCAGAGAAGATCCAGCTATTCTGATACCTCACTGTTGGTGAGGGCGAGGAGATGTATCGCGATGCAGATGCCGCTTCAGGCTTCAATCGGTTTGTGGCTCAGTAGAGCTGCTTAAGTCAGAGCGCGAAAAACATAGCTCTTTTCTCTTTCCACTTTGAACTCGAAGAAGGCGACGATGGTGGGCAGGATTCGGGTATAAGCTACTGCACAGTGTGCCCTATCCACAGCCTACGTGAACACATTTTGAATTTGTTGAAGGAGCTTGTGGCATGAGATCCAAAAAATACGCACGAACTTTCGAGACAACCTAATAATAGTTTGAATTCGTAAGTACTGAAGCTTTTCGGCTACAGCCCATTTTCCAAAATTGAATTTGATTTAAACCCTTTCTTGATCTGTCATGATACTAACATTTAAATGTTCACTAATGGCCTAACACGTATGAGGTCTATATTCACATTTGTTAAACATTTTTGAGTAAAACAGATAAGAAATAAATGAAGTTGTGAGCTTGTTTCCAGTTTATTTTTGAACCGAAATAAATTATTACATTTTATGTATTGTATATATCTTATTTATTTATTTTATGACTATTGCTACAGAACAAATCATGCAGGTCTGAATAAAGAAACAACTACACAATTTTGTAGGAACTTTTGAATGCGAACAAATACTTATAGTATAAGATGAGTCTTAGTGAAAAAAACTTTACAGCGCAAGGAGAAGAACATTGGTAAATACGAAGTTATACGAGGGATAGGCAAAAGGGGGCCGTGCCCAGAGTTAGGAGAGAAGGACAATGGCCACCAACATTGTAAGCCGCAGGAGGAGAGTACGGCTCCGGGTACCAGCTTAGAAGGCCCGCCAACCTCTCCAGAGAGCTGCAGGTGGTGAGGGGGGGGGAATCAGGCACAGGGAGCTAAGTTAATAGTCAAGCAAATGAATACACCTTAAGAATGAATACCCAAGTTCTGAGGGGTTTTCCTTGGCTCCTCGTTAGCGGAGCAGCAGTGCTAATTTTTCCTCGTGCTGATGCTCTCCTTTGAATACAGGAAAGGGAATAGGGTTACAGGAGTCCTTTTATACTGTAGTTTTAATAGTTCCGTAAAGATAATAGGGCTACCGTCCTCATTGACTAACCACAGTGTTTTCTATTGTTAGTTTCTCTTTATAGGCGCCTCAGCTGCAACGCTGAATAAATAAATAAATAAACAAATAAATAAATAAGTAAGGACAATATTGATGAAGAGATACAAGCTACAACAATTATTCCATAAAATTGAGTTTTTTGACTAGTGAC